AAAAAAAAAAAGATTTACGATAAATACCTCGGTCGCGGCAGGTAAGGGTGATTTTCTTAAATTTTTATAAATGCACGTATCTAGTTTATTGGTAAATGAACGTTCTCATTTACACTGTTCACGTTTAAGTAAAAATCTTAACGTAGGATTAAAATCGTTGTATGTACAATGTAAAGAACTGCTTCTAAAACTGATTTACAATTGTAATTTGCCTTATATTATACATTATATATAAACAGTATGTACATCATATTTACATGTTACATTATGATTATTTGTAGAAAACGAAGAATTGCGGCAGGTTCTGCGATGAAAAAAAAACAATCTTAGTACGAAATACATATTTTTCATACAAACAGATGTAATTAAACACAGTGATCTTTAATAAAAGTTATATTCTTTTCACTTATGTCGCCTTGATGTTTATACTTGGAAGATAAATTAGTATAAAAAAAGAACGATGTCCGAGAAACTCGATAAACTGTTACGCGATATTAAAAAATAAAGTATAAAGAATTTATCACAGAGTGTACATTATTTTTAAAATTACAAGCAGTCGATAGCAATCTATTTTTCTGTTAAAAAGAATTATTTATCATTTCTATGAATTAATGTTATTCATCCATCCATAAAATTATGTAATTCTAAGTTAATGCTGCAGTGTTGTTAATTAATCACATGTGAAAAATCATTATATCAGTCTACTAATAATGGATGATATTAATTCTGATAAGAGACACGTTAGTAAGTAAAAAGAACTTAAGTTGGTTTCCAGGCTACAATGCTCATTTTGTTGTTTAATTCTTGTAATATTAGAGAGCATGTGAGTTGCTTCTCTGGTGACAAACCATTGATTCCTTCCATTTCGTCGTCGTCATCTAATCCGTTACTGCTTCCATTTTTCCCTTTGCCTTTCCCTTTTCGTTTCTTTTTTTTATTTAGTTGTCGGCAGTCTATGTCACTTGCAGTGTCTGTTGCTTTTCTGATCTATAGTGAGTAAAGGTATCTTATGTACCTCGATTTCTTAATTATGTATTTAATATTTCAAGTGGATAAAGTCTTACTTTTGCACTTTTCTTTGACTGTTTGTCATATTCCAAAGCATCATAATAATTTGGTTTCTCTCGCTTGATTCGATTGGTACGTCTGGTTTTCATTACTCCGCTATCAGGACTAGGAGGGCTTTTGATAGAATTACGTCTTGCATTAAAAAAAGAATGACCACATGGACATGCTTTACAGGCAACGGGTACCTTAATAAATAAATTTATTAAATTCATATACGATATATCAAAATTATATTTTAATCGTATAGGACAATTATAATGAAACATTCATTATATACACATAATGAGAGAACAATATATACATAAATAATGCATAAATGTAAAATTAATTCATTCTAATAAAAATAATTTATGTGTTTACGATAATACTATCACAAAAATATTCAATTCACAAGGGAGTACTTGGCTAATAACCAACAAAAGCATTTTACCATTAAATTCTATGGAAAATTACCTGCTGTTCACATTTGGGACACCCTTTACTGATTGTTTTCGTCTTTGCCATATTACGGAAATATATTTCATAAAGGATAATGTTATTTCTAATTAAAAAATTTGACTAGGAAAAGTATGGTTAAACCATATAAAAATATAATGACATCAGAGTATGAAAATAGCCTTTGTAGCGGTGAAAACACATTTTAAGAGCTCTCACTGTATCGTTAGATGCTTTTTCTCTCACTCAACATCACGCTAATAGGTAATGACAGCAGTAATGAACAAAAGGAACACAATTAAACTAATTCGTACTTCAATAGATAGATGGCGGTAGCAGTCAATTATGCGAATAAGCCAATCACAAAACTTTGTCGTTTCAATTGCGAAAGGTGTTTACGTTTACAATAATACTCCTATTGACGCCTATGATCGAGCTTCTTGATTATGAAAAATTAATATTTGCTTTTTATTACAATGATAGATGCAGCATCTTATGGAAGATGATGAAACATAAACTGAAATGGTATTGCAGCGCACTTCACATACATATTAGGGCGGTGACTCTGAAAATCACATTCAACCTAACCATCGAAATTAATAATGGTAGCCAACGTAAAAAACACTTTCCAATGTGTTCCTATTAAAACATTTTTGAAGCCTAACTGTACTTGATACTCTTGTTTAACAAGCTCTTCTATGCTCTAATCCAGCACTTGCAGCGAGACATTGAACTATTTTCTTAGATTAAGATGATGTTGATAATGACTTAAGGTCTTGTATTGTCCCTGAAGTGTGTATTGATTTTCGAAGTTTTAATAACAACCAAAACAATTCAAAATTAGAATTCGATTTATCAAGATAAATTAGATACTGCAATATCTATACACTTCGAGTCCATATGACGTAATAATTTGTTAAATGTTCTCTGAATTGAATAACAACGAAATATTTACCCCAGAAGTATTGATATACATTTGAAAATATATTCTGATTAGTCATCCTTCGTCAATATTTTAGCATAACAATTGGACAATAATATTAAAGCGTAACTGTAATTTCTAATTGCAAAGTAAATTCATAAGTTTGGTCTCAAATGTATTATTCAGTCAATCTTTTTTCTAGGACAATTTTCTTATCAGTTGCGTCAAGCTTTACTACAACTTTTCATATATGTATATATTTTATCTAATGATATCGAGAAATTCAAAAGAGACGTCCCTTAGATCTAAACTAGTCGACGCAAACAAATAACTGTGTTATGAGTACTTGTCCCCTCGACGACTGATTGTGTAATTATTATTTAACCGTTTCCCCGATTGCGTCAATTCATGTAAATACGACGATGCTTTTAGTAAACGAGTCTCGAACAACTTTGTTACGTTATTAAGTCGAATTATTTCTTTTTTTCTCACATTAGACTGAATTTACAATACTAATCTAAATAGTTTACGAATATCCTTGGTAGATAAAAATGTGGTACGGTATTTCATTTAAACCTTCATTAGCAATCGACAAACAAGAAAGACGATCGCATTTTTCTATTAATGTTAATCAACTTTCTCGTGTATTGGTAAAATTGGGTTTTAAAACGGTATCACGCGATTCGCCATAGCCGTATTTTTCCGCGCCGTTTAATATAATTTCTGCCTCAATGTCTTGCTCCTTCTCGATTCCCTCGCGTTACGATTCTTACTCGGGTTCATTAATTGTGCAGTCTGTCCCGTCGCTCTGATATTATTTCTGTACTCCATCGGGAAACGTTCGTTCTTTCTGTTGTTCGCTGTGACTGAATTTTCTCTGTCGATCGTCGTTTTGTTCTCGATTCGTAAAATCCGTTCGGGATCTTTCGTTTTGCAAATAACGCGATGACCTTTCCCCGGGCACCTCCTCCTACGATACAATTCCGTTACTGGGATCGCATTATTCAGCTGGTGTATGAAACTTATCGAAGTCACTTCAAAACTCTCTTTGGGCGTGACATTAACTCCAACATTTGCACAATTATCAGATACGTCCGCGTTCTGGCTACTATCAAGTACGGAGTACCTCAAACTCTTATCTGTCCTCGTATGTGAACGTTTCACTTCGTACTTTTCGTCATCGATGTTCGATGTATCGGTATTTCTGGCTTCTATTTTCTCTTTTCCTTTCCTGACTTTATGTCTTACTCGACCAGAGCGATAGTCATGCTTCGGCGTGTCCCTCTTCCCCTCTGCGACTGGTGCGTCATCACCAACAACATAAAACCGTCTCCGTTGGACAGGATTTTTCGTTAATCTCCTTTCTACACGAGTCACGGCTCTTTCATGTTCCGTATCATCGTGGAAACACGTTCGACTAACGTTTCCCTTCGATTCTACGTTAAACGTCGTTTCTGGAACGCTTCTCGCCGTATCGCCATCGTCACGACGACTCTCCTTCGGGATTTCATTAACATTTTTATTCCCCGCATCGTTTGGCCGTTTAATGCCCAACGAATGTAATGCTCGCGCAAGGTCTCTCTTAGAAACGGGTATTTTATTTTCCTCGCACGTGCAACAACGATTCTCGGAATCACGGACGCCGTTGGTTCTTTGTTTCCGCGTCATGGGGCACTTTGAAACATGATCTGTATTTTGTTCTTTCAGCTCGTTCGAGGATTTCTTACGAGCACGGGACCTCGTGTTGCGATCATCGCTAGATGCGATCTTCAGATAAGGACAATCACACTGGCAGCACACTAGCTCTAAATCCTTCGAACGAATCGTGTTTTTCTTTCCCACGTAATTTTGCCCATTAGCCTCCGCGTCGCGGGTTCTCGATTTCTCAAAACAACCACACCGTTTAACCTTCATCTGTTCGGAAATCTCTCTCTGCATCGCGATCCTCTGTTTACTCGCAATACCCCTCGGATCGGGCACGCAAAAGTCAACAGTTTTTGCGGCGAAATCTAATCTCTGCCGGCTACTCTCGCGATAAACGTTTTCACAATCCTGGCACAATACGTAGCCCGATACGTTCATTTCTTGGAACGGTACGACGTAATTTTGTAGTTGGCAGTTGCAACAGACCGCTTTAGGAGGCTGTTGTGTTTGAACAATTTCTACGTACTCGTTTACATGCTCTGCTGCCTTTGGCAACGACTGTTTCGTATTAAGCATCAATGTACCCATTTTTTTCGTTTCGCGAGTTGCCTGTTTATCGATGTGTTCTTTTGTTTCTGGAACATTGCGCATGATTTCCTTCGTTTCCTTTAGTAACTGAGATCTATCCACATATTTTTTACCCTTTCTCGTAATCTCCTTCGCAGTGTCCTCGAACTTCTCAAGCACTTCCTGCTTGTTCGTTGATTCGTTCCTCCCGTCCTGGGACGGATCTTTCTTAGCGTCGTTGTGCTTCTCGTTAAATTGACGGTATCTCTTTACAGCGCGTTCTATTTCAGCCTCGTCATCCCCGTCGTAATTAGTCGCAATTCGCGTAGAAGTCTTTTTGTTGCGAGTGTTTCGCCGTCTCGAGCATTTGACGAACCGTCGCTGCGGGAGAGACCTACATTTCCATGGATCAGGGATTCCTTGAGCGAAGGGCAAACCCAGTTCGTTCCATAGTCGGTCAGTGGCGAGACATCTGACGTAACGAGGTATAAAATTTTTTTGCAGGACACGTACCTCCGTTGCACCACAGCATCCTCTCGAGGCTAAGTATTCCCTCCAAGTGTCGGGAATGCCTCGTCGCAAGCAATCGCGATCGTTTTGCTCGTACCGAGACGAAATCGTTAAAAACGGACGCGCTTTTAATAATTTTGCCGTGGAGAATGGACCGCGTACAACCTCGCGAACATTGAGATTATTTTTCCGTAGCCGATTCGGCGACGTCCACTCGTACGTCCATCCGGTGCAAATTTTGTACTCGTCCGATTCCTTTATTCGTATCCCTTTTCTGCATCGAGTCCGTTTGACGAGACAGCATTGTCGATTCTTGGAACATCGTGCCACTGTATAGTTGTATACAGTATACAGGATGAATCATCTAAGGCTGGAACCTAAAATATCTCTGTTGCGATAAGAGAATATATCAAAGGAAATACTTTTTTCCAACAGAAATATTGTGATAAAGAATTTTTTTTAAAGTAAACCGACGTGTTTTCATTGATGTAGTATCGTCGTCGATAGAAAAACAAAGTACGCCACGTATTAGTACGTCGACTTTCGAATGACCTCCTGAAGAATTACTCTTATATAATCATATCTTAGTTAATTTACAGAGGTCGAGCGAGGGAAGATCAACATTTTTGATATTTCGAAAAATATAATCTTCAAAAAAAAAATATTTCCGTTTACGACGTAAATAGATTTCCCCTGAAATATTTTCTCGTGTCATTGAAAGTAACGGAGATATTTGGGATTTCAACTTCAGCTGAGTAATACTGTCTATTGAAAATAATAAAGCTCTGGCGAGATTTTACAATACATGCAAATGTATCGATATTTTTATATAGCGTTTGTATTAGAAAGTAGAGAACGAATAACAGAGATTGTCGTAGGAAAAATACATCAAGGTTTCTTACTGGCCGGATACGTTGTGCAATTCAAATATTTTGTATGAAGCTTACAAAACGTTCATCGATACAGGTTATGGAACAATAGTGTTTCATACATTGCTTTTACGTTGCAATCAAAATTCTGCAATCGCATGCCAACGATATACCGTCCTTTCCTGAAATTTATATGTTTTTCGAAACGGTATATCGAATTCTTTCGAATTATCCGAACAATTAATATTTAGTGGACAAATTTTTGTTTGAAACATCGTTTCTAACGTTTTACTTGAAGTAGGCTAACATCTATACATGTACTACGTAATATTGTTTTGTATAAAACATTCTGAAATTATTCAAAATTGAACTGTTGTGTTTTGAAGCAAATTTGTCCAAGTTTGTTGAAGAAAATGTTATAACTCACGTTATTCTTTGATTAATGTTGGTGAATAAAATAATTTTGTAGATATAATTCGTTCGACATACACAAATCTTAGTTCCATTACCTTGCTTGAAAAGATTGAATTTGTTTAGAAAGAAATTCGTATAACTGTCCCCAGGTGTATGCAGGGCTACCAGTCACTCGTATTACCAACATAGATACTACATTGTACTACGCACTTCACGATAAAATCAGTTGTGTCAGTGGAGTATTGTGCAAAGTGGCGAAAGTGTTTTTCTGATCAATGTCAATGCAAACATAAGCACGATGTCTTTGCTACGTACGTTGCCCACTCTTAATAACGCTACCAAATTAATATCGCGCAGCGTTCCAGCTGTGTCTTATCATCCAAACGTAAGTACTGATTATTTTTGTTTTCCGGTGTCGTTCCTAACCTGACAAAACATACGTCTTACGGCACTTTTAGCGATCAATATCGTATAGTTGCATCTATTATTGGAATACATAGACAGAAAGTTTGACCTTGATATTTGACTTTTGCATAGTTATGCTTCCAATGGAAAACCGCTTAAAAATACAGCGCAGTAAATACTTCGTATTAATAGTCCTGGAATTTTAGGTTATGTTGATATACGATTTCAATTAAATGCGTAAATTATCTTCTCGAAAGTTAATTAATAAAATGCATACCTATGTGAAAAATGCAAAAAGAATTCTTACTTTCACCAATTTAATACTAATATAATCAATATAAATAAATTGAATATTGATTACAAGGATCTATATGTCTTTACTACTTATTGTTATTACTTTATAGGTATTAGATCATTATGAAAATCCAAGAAATGTTGGCTCTTTGGATAAAAATGACTCCCAAGTTGGCACCGGGCTTGTAGGAGCACCAGCCTGTGGGGATGTCATGAAACTTCAGATTAAAGTTGACAAGGATGGAAAAATTGTCGATGCTAAGTTTAAAACTTTTGGATGTGGCTCTGCTATTGCCTCGAGTTCGTTAGCCACAGAATGGGTCAAGGGAAAGACTGTAAGTAACTATATACTTTCATGAGTTCTCTAAATAAATATAAATGTTCAATTGCCTCATATTATAGGTTGACGAAGCATTGAAGTTAAAAAATACCGATATTGCTAAAGAATTGTGTTTACCACCCGTCAAGCTACACTGTTCGAGTGAGTAATTTTTATCGTTTTAATTTATTATTTTATTATTTTTGAGATACAAAACCTACTTTGAATGTTTAGAGGAAATTTTTAAAATTGGTAGTAAACTGTACCGACATCTAACATATTAAATTCTATAAATCAAACAAGACATACGATTTATGTTTTAACTGAAAACTAATTACCATGAAAATAAGTTACAAATTTAATTTTTTTATATTATAGTGCTTGCAGAAGATGCAATTAAGGCTGCTTTATCAGATTATCGTATAAAGCAGGAGGCAAAATCAAAAGATAATACCTCAACTTAAATCTGATATGTTCCATAGTATTATGTAACATTACTTGTGGTTACTCTAGTTAGTGATGTTGTTAACCACTATATACTTTTATAGATTTTAGAATCTCAGCAAAGTATGAACTGTGATCAGAAATAAAAATTACTGTATCCTAATATATATTTAAAGTTCCATGTAAAAATACTTAGCTGTGCTTTATTTTCTTTTATGACAATGAATAAATATATTTAATTAAAAATCTGCTTAATGTAGAGTTTTCATTTACATACGTTTGTTGCGCATAAATACATGTTGTAAACGATCTATTGTATGGCAATTTAAACTATCGATAAAACAGTTTTACTTGTCTTCTTTTCATGTGAACATAGTATGCCACCAATGATGACGCAATGATGGCGGGCCGGGGAAAGAGCTATACCTCTTATCGATGAATTTTTTTTTGTTTTAAAGATTATCGTAATAACAATTTTATGCAAATTATGAGAGAAGAGATACCGAATAAGCCGAGCAGAAGTAACTACTATTTCACCTAATTCCACAGATAGCGAAAAATAAAATGTGTAATAGCACAAATTCATAGCAGTTTCCTTATAGCCGTGATACGGGAACAAATATTTACTCGGATTCTTGTATCTTTATTCATACAATAGAATTGCATTCCCAGAGATCGGTTTCCAAGAATCAGACTTCGATTCAACCGATTAAAATGAACGCGTTACACACGCCTGAGTTCGAAAGCGAGCCGGATCGACGACACGAGCATCCCTCTTTTAAACTGTCATCGCTACACCAATTGATGCTTAATAAGAAGGAATATAAACTGAGTCATATGCAGTTACTACTGTCAATTGCGCGTTTCAAGATAATTTGCGAAGAGGAACAATTACTTAGCTCGTTAATTCGTAATTTACGTTGCCCATAAGTTTCCACGTTGCCTATAATATATTTACGTCGATTAAAGTTGCTCTTATCTATACGAGATAAACGGATATTGATTTCAGCTTTTTTTCTTTATTAAATGTTTTCATTGATCGACAGATGAAATTGTTCACGTGGAATCGTCGTACATATAACTTTTAACGGGTCATTCATGTGTTACTAGATGTGCCACCAAACGTGTAATTATATAATATAATTATACAATCAGAAAATACAGCATTGGAGATATTTCAAATGCGCTTATCGCAATACTGTAGATTCAGTCAAGATATCTGTTACCTATATAACGGATGTATCAATATACAATCACGCATATGTTCCATATAACAAACGTGATAAAAAGTAAAGTATGCTACTTCGAAGATACTCGAAAGAAGTGGAGCATACAGCTCGGCGTTATAAAATTTCTTCAACGTCGAGTGATATAAGCTATTTATTGTGACATTAGATACTCGAAACAGTGGTAGATAAGCACTGCCTTTTTTTTGTTGTTATTCAAACTTCACGTAAGTTTTTTTTCCGAGCAAGAAATTATTAAGAAGTAAATCTTTAGCGGTACAACGACGTACTACGTTTCGAAAAATAATAATACCGTAGCGTTCACAATATTTTAATTACCGAGGCAGTAATTCGATCGTGTCCAGCTGAACACGTGTTGTACACGCGCCATTACTGTTTCGTTCTAATTCCCTGTACAGTCATCAAGTGTTTGTACGCACAATAGCTTCTCTGACAAACACGATGCCAGCGGTGCGCGATATGATTGAAACGATGCAATCTTGCCTCGCTGCATCACAAGCAGTAATTGGATGAAAATTGTTTACGTAGACTTCTATCGATATTTGTTTGCTTTGCGATGCACGTAAATAATCTATAGTCCAAACAACCGAACTGTAGTCGGATTCACGTGTCAATCAAATTTTACGTCAGAATACGCGACAGAATCTCGAACATACTATCGTATACGCTAAGCATTGTATTCTAAAACAACGATATTTTTACTAACCCTGTCTCCAGAGATACCTGCTCTCTACATTATCAAACTCTGATTTAATCCTATTATCGGTATGCACTCATTTGTGTTTTTTAAGCAAGTATATAACCAACAAATAATCTATTTACAACAATTGTCATTTACAATTTTCCCAGCAGGATAAGTACAGCTGGAAAGTAGTGCCTCTACTGTCGTATAATCTTTCTCAGAAACCAGATATAATATATTACGGTTAAAGAAGGTTAAACGGAAACAATTCCATGAATTAGTTCTTCGAAACTGAATAGCGATTTCTCAAGAGATGAGTCGTTTGAAATTTACCTTTTCGCGATAAGCCGAGACGAGAATCCCTTGTGACGATAAAGAGGCGTTTTCCAGATTGGCATTCAATATCGGGCACGAGGAATGCTTATCGCGTTCGATGCTTGTTTTCCCTACCTCGATTTCTCTATCCACAAAATGGGACGCATTTGCGCGCGAACAAACATTAAATTTGAATAGGGCGTTTCGATGCGGGGACGATTCTACATTAGTCCATGGGCCGTCCTCTCGTGTCCCGTCGTAAATTTTCCATTCCCTCGTGTTCCTCGGTGTAATCTCTTTTCCTCTATGCAAGCCTGGAATATAGAAGGTAATAGAGAAAGAGAGCTAGAGACAGGAAAGGAGAAGTATAAAGAGAGTATAACATTTACTAAAGGGTGGGAGAATCGTCGAATGCTGGAGGGAAGGAGCTCCGATGTCAGGCTGAGGCGAGAGTCATGGAGCATTTCCCCCTCCACGTGCACACCGATGCACGACCCTACGTATACATTAACTTAGCGCTTCGAGCAAATTCGGGGAGTCGAGAGAGACGGCGAATGTAAGCCCTTTACTTCTCGCTCTCATTGTTAGCATGACTGAAATCGACTTGTCGGCGAATACGATTCGATCTTGACTGACGGTCGTTCATTCACTCTTGTAGACAGACTATGTCAACGTTTTACAATTACAGTTGCTATTGATCACCTATTCAATCATCTTAACTGCAATTACAGATTACATTTTGCAATCATTAATTACTGTCGATCACCATTACGGGTATAATTGTAACCATGGTCAATCACGATCAACATACAATGTAGTCTGTAACTGTCGATTGGATTACGTTTTATTTAACCACCTTTTGATTGTACATCTGCCATGAACACATCAAATTTAGCTTTTATGTAACACAGATGTTGGAACGCTGGAAACCTTGTTTTTTTCCTTCTGTATACCTCTGTATTCTAGTTATCTCCTGTACGTTGCCACGTACTTTACACATTTTTATACCTGTATGGAACATAACATAATTTCGTTCACAACTGAATCTAAAAAAAGAGTAATTTAGCAAGGCGTTCCGATTTCTCAGGTGGTATTGTAATGTTAATCGCAGCGAGTGGCAATTACGCTCGTAATTGTAGCAATTGCACTTAGCAACTACGACTTTAATTGTGGAGTGACGATAGATATCGTAATTGCTGTCACTGGTAATTACAATTTTCCATCTAGAGGAGTAAACACGACCAACAGTCAAGATCGTATTCCTGTTTGCCGACAGTTCAGGCTTCAGCTGTTGTGTCCAGAGAGAGAAGGACACGCTCGTATTCGTTCTCTTTCTCGCATCCCCGAAGCTACCCGAAGCGGTCAGCTCACGTACACGCGATTCGGCGCGCTGGTGTACGTGTGCAGGGGGAGAATTCTCTATGACTCGCGTCCTCAATCTGACATCGGAGTGGAAGGGTGAAACAGGAGGACCAATGGGCATGGTGGGAGAAAGGATGAAGTAGTGGCAAGCGGCCCTGCGTGATACACAGCTGATCGGTCGTTCTGTGACGGAAGAGCTGTTTTGCTTGCGCGTCGTGCATCGCGGGTGGTGATATCGTCGACTCTACGCACGGGATGACAGTGAACCGTGCCTGAGAATCCCGTATACATGCGATTGTTTATGTGCTCTATGCAATTTGACAAAGTATCGAGAGCAAGAGATACGGGCGGTGGTGTTACCCCAGTTGTTAAACTGCTCGCAACATCGGCGCATTGCGGATCGCAATTGGTGGCGTCAGGTCAATTACATCGCGGATATTATCCTTTATTTCGAAGGAAATCGTTAACACGGAGAAGGTCTATGACCGGATCACGACGAAGTTCACCTTATCAGGGGAACAGAATAAACCACGGCGTAGGTGTGACTAGCAACAGTTTGAAATTGATGAAGTCCGAAGCCATCGGAGAGGAGGACACAACTGCTGATCCTGCAGTTTGTGAACATTGATATCGGTGCACTCACAGCTCCCTTTATATCTATTCCGTGTTTCAATTCAACGTGTATTCGCTCGTTATCGTTTACTTTCGAGCTTATTTCCTTTTTTTGGTTCTTTTCTTTCTTCATTTTTCGTTGCATCTATCCGTTCGTATGACTGTACACGGTAATCGCGCGTTAGTTTATTTTTCTTTGTAGCATTTGCGATCGGTTTCGCTTTTTCCTTCTTTGTACAAATTTCCATACGTAGCGTATGCCTGTATATGCGCGCGCGCGCGCGAGTGTGAACGTGAAAGAAAAGGTTGATGACAATGCAACGAGTCCAAGATCAAGACAATGGAATCAACATCAAATTCGGGGCGAGCAAAGGCAAGGGAAATTATAAGCTAGTGTCGCAGCGTTCGGAAAATGAGAAAAAAAATGTCAACGGGACCAACAAACACGGTGAGTCGTTATACATTGAAATTTATTCGAGTTTTTGAAACAATCGATGGTCGTTTATTTTTTTAATTGGTAATTCAAGTTTTGGTAAAGAAAAAATGTTAATACATAGACGTCTAAAAATATGTTACATTTCAGTCGTGAAAACAAAATTTTTTGGGTAAATTCTAATAACAGGTGCATCGGAGTCGTTCATCTTCTTCTTTCTTCTGTTTTCGTTTGCAGATTAAACTATATTTTATAAAATGTTCGTAATAAAAATGTTTCTCGCTGAATGGTTTGTTTTGCATCGAAGATAGGCAAGATTTTATTTGAATATAGAATGACTAATCCCTATAGCGATTTATTCATGATTCTCACGAATGTTTCCACATGCACGATACAGGATATATCATTATATCGAAGTATAAATTCGAATTCCAATTTTTATTGAACCAGTAATCTATAAAATTTTGTTTGTTTTATTTATTATTCGAGATTTTTATCTTGATAAATTTTTATCCATCTCTCTGGTATATTCTAAAATTAGAAAATGTTTCGGTATTTATCTTTGGCTTTTAACGTGAACATAGCGATTTGTAACGTAA